ATTACTGTTACTAGTAGTATTAGTAGAAGTATTAGCATGATCATGATTTGTATGAGTGTGTTATCAATATTCGCATTAGTATTAATATTCGAGTTCGTCATCGTCTTCGTTTTCGTTTTTGTCTTCGTCTTCCTTTTCTTCTTCCTCCGCCTCCTCCTACTCCTCCTCCTCCTCCTCCTCCTCCTCCTCCTCCTCCTCCTCCCTCCTCCTCCTCCTCCTCCTCCTCCTCCCCCCCCCCCCCCTCCTCCTCCTCCTTCTCCACCGCCGCCGCAGCCCGCCGCCACCGCCTCCGCCTCCGCCTGCGCCGCGCCTCCGCCTCCGCCTCCGCCTCATCCCCTCCTCCTCCTCCTCCTCCTCCTCCTCCTCCTCCTCCTCCTCCTCCTCCTCCTCGTCCTGGTCCTCGACCTCCTCCTCCGCCTCCTCCTCCTCCTCCGCCTCTTCCTCCTCCGCCGCCGCCTCCGCCTCCGCCTCCGCCATGGCCCCTCGGCCCCAGGAAATCGTCGCTCGTTGCTTTCGCCTTGCCGCTCCCAACAGACGGCCCCGAGACAACCCGAGAGAGCCCCGAGCGGGGCCCGGATGAGCCCCGCGAGGGCCCCCAGCACGCGCAAGAACACTTCAAGAACGGCCCCAGACGCCTCAAGACGCCATTTTCAGCAGCGAATCCGACCTCCCCCCCTCGCCACTCGAGCCTCGGGGGCCGAGGCGGCCCCGAGGGGCTTCCCAGACCCCCCGCAGAGCCACGAGATGACCCCAGGAAACCCCGAAAACACACAGAAAAAAAGGCGGGGCGAGTGCCAGGCGACCCCGCGAGGACCCCAAGAAAGACCAAGAAGGCCCCAAAAGACCGCCACGAAAACACTTCTGCATGCTTCTGCACTTACCGGGCCGAGGCAGCTCGCCCGGCGATCTGACTCTGGAGGGGCGCGCGAAGCGTGAGGGAGCTCGCTGCGGCGACGAAGATTAAACGCGGCGCGAATGAAATCCCACCAGCCCTTTGGGCGTGAGTGGTTTAGCGAGCTCTCTCTGTTCTCAACCCCCTAACCCCCTATCTTCCCCTTCGGGGAGGGGTTTACCCCTCCCCCTACCCCCTCCCCCTGGACCTGGACAGGGAGTCCCGGGTGGTGTCAGGGGGGTCTTTTCCGACTCCTGGGAGGGCCAAAAAACGACGAGCCTCACGAGGATTCTGGCCCCGACGGGGGGACGCAGTTTGGCCCCCCTGCTCTTCTTTGAAGCCAAAATCATTGATTTTACTATGGTTTTGGCCCCATGCTGGCCTTCTGAGGGGGCCGCGCTCATCTTCCTTCATAGCAAAATCATTGATTTTACGAAGGTTTTGGGCTCATTTTGTCCATCTCAGGGGGCAGCGCTCCTTTGCGCTTCTGAGGAGGTCGCAAGAAGCCCCCAAGAGGCCCCCAAGAGGCCCCCAAGAGGCCCCACGAGGCCCCAAGAAGCCCCCAAGAGGCCCCCAAGAGGCCCCCAAGAGGCCCCCAAGAGGCCCCACGAGGCTCCAAGAGGCCCCCAAGAGGCCCCACGAGGAGCCCGAACGACTCACACCAGGACGAGGGGCCCGAACGACTCACACCACGAAGAGCCCCAACGACTCACACCACAAGGAGGGGCCCGAACGACTCACACCAGGACGAGGCGCCCGAACGACTCACACCACGAGGAGCCCGAACGACTCACACCAGGACGAGGGCCCCGAACGACTCACACCACGAGGAGCCCGAACGACTCACACCAGGAGGAGGAGCCCGAACGACTCACACCAGGACGAAGGGCCCGAACAACTCACACCACGAGAAGCCCGAACGACTCACGCCAGGACGAAGAGCCCGAACGACTCAAACCACGACGAAGAGCCCGAACGACTCACACCAGGAAGAAGGGCCCGAACGACTCACACCAGGACGAGAGGCCCGGAGATATGCGGGGGCAGGCGGAAACACGCCTGAAAAACACGACTGTCGGCATGCTTCGCAAGAGTTGCTGTTTTGAGATGGGCTGGTGGGGATACGCGAAGCGTGAAGAATTTCCCCCGGGGTTCAGAAGGTCTGCTCTGGCCTTGTGGGCGGAAGCGCTGCAGCGCAAGGTCCACGGGGGCCCCAGCGCGGCCCTCTCTGGGAGCGCATTCGACGCAGGAGCCCCCCCCCCGCGGCCGCCGCGGGAGACCACGTTCACGCAGTGGCGCCCCTCCCGGACGCGCAGCGGCCCCAGGTTGCTCGACGCCCCCCCCCCCCGCCCAGAATCTCTCTGGCGATCGCATTCTGGCCGCGGCCAATCGCCCTCGGCCTGAAGTCTGGCTGCGAGCCCGTCGGCCTCGGTTGTTTTCAGCGCTGCCGCGCGGCGCACCACTGGAAATTTTGCTCTTCTTGGACGAGCTTCCCTTCTCGAGGATGCGAAGCGGATTGCGTTGTATAGTTTTACAACCGACGGCTAGGCCACACTCGATGCTCGATGATCTTCGCAGGCTGCAGAAATAAACGGCTGACCTCAGCGATTTTCCTGCCCATGCCGCAGGGTCTTGCGCGCCGGGGGCACTGCGTCGCGCAATCCTACGTTCGATGGGACCGTCCGATCCTTTTTTGGGCTTCGCGCAGACGCAACATGCCATGCTCGAATCCAGAAAGCTGCCGCTGCGCAGGATGGCACCTCGTCAGCGAGCCCGTCGAGCGGCTCGCGGCCTCGCTTCAGCGGCCGCCCGCCAGCCCCCAGCGCCCACATTGCCAGCGGCAGCTAACCAAGGCCAAGAGGCCGCGGAACCACGTCGCGAAAGCTCGCGGGCAGCATTCTCGCTTTTCGCCCGCAGGCGAGCGCTGGCTTCCCCCCGCTGCCAAGCGCGCTTCCGAATCTTCCACAACGGGGACCTCCTGGTCGACCATTTGTCCATCGAAACCCCGCCCGTTGGGTCATCGGCGCGAATTTGGGCCCCGCCGAAGGGGCGCGGCCTAGGCGCCCACGCATGCCGAGCTTTGCAAGCGAGTTCTCGCGCCGACTGGGCGCCAGCCGTGAAGACCGAGGCCATGATCTGCACGCGCAGCTCACGCCAGCGCAAACACCGGCCACCCTGCTAGAACCCGCCCGGCGCCCTCGGACACAGCACGAGATGCGTTGCTCAGCCTGCTCGGACGACCTGCCCAGCCGCCGCGGGGCCCGCCGACAGGCGCTGACCTGCCTGCCCGAAATCAGGCGGACCTCTCTCGCGCAGCAGAGCACGCAGGACGCATGGAAATTATGTTCCTGTGCCATTTGAAGCGCGCGAATCCACCATTGCGCACCCATCCCGAGGGAGACGGCGCAACGGCGATCCCCAAGGCCCAGCTAGAGCGGGCGCGCTAGTCTGCAGACGTTACCATCGTTGTCCCCAGTGGGGACGTCGCCCTGGACGTGGACAAAGGAGGCCTTAGCAGGACCGACGCTTTGGCTTTCTGGTCACCTCATGTCTTGGCGCGGCGCACGTTCCCCACGGGCGGGGCCACCACCCAAAAACACCTGGTCGCCCGCGCCGTGGACAATTGGAATTGGACCTTCACCCAGACGAAGGCACGATGCCTACAGCGCAATCTTCGCGGCCGCGGCCCGTGAAGCGCGCCAGCTTCACATCGGCAATGCGCTTCGCATTGTTCATGTTACACCGTTGCCGTAGCACGCCCAGGTCCGCTCTAGCGGGTGAACGGAACATCCTCAGCCATGTGAGCGGGAGGCGCGGGCGCCAAGCTCCTTCTCATGAGCCCCCGATTCAAGCGTTCATGCTGGCGCCTCTCGCACGCGCGGTCGACCTTGATCAGTGCGGCTTCAGCCAAATCGCCATAACTCCGACTAGGTTTCTTGGCCTTTGCATGGAGCAGCTCCACGACTGCCTCACGGACGCGCCGGGCCATGGCTGCTGCTCACACGGCCAGAACGCTTGGATCCTGGATCTGTTGCAGGTTGTGCCTCGGATGTTATCGACGGGGGGGGCCTGCCCCAGGCGTCGCCGCTGCGACCCCGAGAAGTATCGATTTCGGCCCCCTGGCCGCTCCGAAGGGCCCGACAGTGGTGTCGAGCCCACGCCAAGGTCACTCCCTGGTGCTGCCACCGAGAAATCGACAGCCGACGCCCTCGATTCGGCCCGGAGTCCTCCCTGAGGAACCGCCCCCGCTGGGTCCACCACCGCCCGAACTCACACCAGCGCAGTCGGAACGCGCTCGGCTCAACCGTGAGGCCGCTCGAGTTCGTAGAGCGACCAAGCTGCAGGCTGCCAGGGCCGCACGCCACCTCGAGGTGGTCCCCTGGGTGGCCCAAGGACCTCGCTTTCAGTTCTAGCCAGGCTTGCTGCCAGCGCTGGGGGTTCAACATGCTGCGATGTTGTTCATCTGGTGTTGGCGAATGCCTTCGGCATCCTTTCGACCTCATTGGCCATTGAGCTGTGTTCTCGCTGTGACTCTTGACAGCTGGTGGTGACGAAGGTGGTCGTGTACATCGGCATGATGCTGATTGGTTTCTGGTCGATGCCCCCACAGCTATTGCCGAAGATTAGACACCTCGTCTGGTCAAAATGATTTGGATGTACCGGCTTGCCCATGCATGACGACTTGGTTTGGCAAACCTAGCCCGACGTCGTGCACCACGGAACCGAGTGATCCGTCCGAAGCCACGCCATTGTTTGCACGTCGTGCTGCGTTGCTGCTCCTTCTCTTGCGCTCCCCCGTCCTCCCTCGTTCGCTATTGGGGCTCACGCCACTCCGCCGCCGGCCGTGCTCCTGGTCCGTGCCGGGTGGGCCCGGTGCCACTCTTCGCTCTGAGGGGTGACGTTCGGAATCAGAACACATTTGCTCCTGGCCCAAGCGGTACAAGTCTAGCCATTGACGGCCCGCAGACTGCTGGAGTGCCGCGTCCACCACCACCTCATCCCTCGTCCCTCATCCCTCCTGCCGTTGTTCTCCCTCCCTCCCTCCTCCTCCCTCCTCCCTCCCCACTCCTCAGAGTGACCATCGGCGCAGAAAGTGAGCAGGCCTCGACAGGGTAGATGAGCTTCGGCACGACAGTGAGGTCGCGCCGCACAAACAACAGGGCTCCCGCGTTCTTGTGGTGGCCTCAGCCCCAAGAAGGGGAGGAAAGGGAGGGGAGTGGAGAAGGAGGGAGGGACGGAGGGTAAGAAAGGGGTAGGAGGAAGACACGAAGAAAGAGTGAGCGGGGCAAGTGGAGGGAGGAGGGGCGAGGAGGGGGGAGGTAGGAGGGGAGACGACGACGACGACGACGACGACGACGACGACGACGACGACGACGACGACGACGACAGCGGCGGCGGCGGCCACGGCAAAGACGGCGGCGACGACAGACGACGAGATCCAGCTGTGAGGGCCAGCACCTAGGTGAAAAGAGGAAGAGGGGAAGGGGGCAAGATGGGAGGAGAGAAGAGGTGGGGCGGGCGCTGAGGAGGCGACCTGTCCTACGCCTCCTAGACTCCTCCTCCTCCTCCTCCTTATCCCTCTCCTCCTCCTAATCCCAATCACTCATGCCCCCCCCTCCTCCTCCTCATCCTCCTTCTCCCAGAGACGGCGGGAGAGGGGGGCGCCGGCCGCAGTAGTCCGTGGCGCTGAACACGGTGATGAGTTTACCTGGTTGCAGCCAGGCAGCCACCAGAGAGCAGGGGGGGTGAAGGAAAGGAGGAGAACTGCATGGGCTTTCGCGGGTAGCCTGCCCGAGCTGTGATCCAGAGAGGAAAGAAAGAGGTGGTGCGGTGAGTCAGAAGACGGGATCAGGAGGGGGAGGAGGAGCATGATGCATGAGGAGAACGGGAATCAGAGGCGAAGAGGAAGGAGTACGAAGTGTGTTGACAAAAGAAGAGGGCACTGATACCCAGCACTCAAACTAGGTCAAGCATACCACTGCATATAAGACGAGTGGGGTCGAAGCCACCCAGGTCACGAGGGGCGCAAGGGAAAGAGGAGGCCCCAATGGCCAATCCAAAAGCCCCCCCCTCAAAAAAAGTATCCAAAAACATCAAACCACCACCAGGACCACGACGACGACGACGAACCTCCGTTTCGCCATATGTTTAGCTTGGGGGCCGGGTAAGTTGGGTACGGGGGCTGGGTGCGCTGGGCGAGGGGGCAGGGCAGTTTGGGCACGGCAGGTGGGAATATTGCAGGGGGTGTGAAGGCCGGAAAGGACGGGAAAGGGGGACAGCTGGATGGGGCAAGCGCTGACGTGCAGGTTGGCTACACGGGATGCGTCGGCTAGGTAACAGGGCCCGACCAGGTTGGGTAATGTTACTGGGCTGATTGGGCAGAGGGGCCAGGTAGATTGCGCATGGGGGCTGGATAGATTCGGGCGGGTCTCTTCAGGTGGCTGGGTATACTGGACCTGGGCGCCAGGTAACTTGGGCAAGGCTGCTGAATTCATAGTGGGAATGGGGGACGGGCAAGTTGGGTGAGAAGGCCGGGTAGGTTAAGCAACAGGGCCAAAAGAGATTGGGTATGGGTCCCGAGTATGTCGGGAACGGGCTGAGGGTGGACAAGCGCGTTCCACTACTCGCAAAGACACTACTCGCTAATGTCCTGGATCCGCCGCGAGGGATTTGGAAGACATGATTTTTTCTGACTTCTGCGAATAGGCACTTTGCGAGTAGTGCAACGCGCTCGGTGAGGGAACGGGCTGAGGGAAAATACTCCAGCGTGGGATGCAGGGTCGCACCCCGTGCCGGAAACAATGCAAGAACCCTGCGGGCAGGCGAGGGCGAGGCCACAACTTGACGAGCAAAAGACCTGCCGTCGCTCCTCGGACGTCCACTCCCCGTGCGCTGCTTGGTTTCGCGCACGCTGCTTCTCAAGGTGACGCAAACTACTCCAAGATGGTCCAGATTTCCAGGCGCTGGCCTCGACGAAAAAACGCACACGCCCGAGCAACGCTCAGGCAACAGTCGGGAAAACGCAATAAGTCGGGTTCGGGGGACTCGGGTTGGCCTGACGGGGCCACCGCGGAAATGACGGAATCCAATCTGAGATTTGGCGCAAGCTCTAGCTGCAAACGTCCCACGAGCCAAGATCCAGGACGCGTGCGTCAAAAAGCGTTGGCCATTTCGAGCTCCGGCGCACTCGAATCTCACGTTTCCCCGAAACCCGGTCGCATGCGCCACCCCCCTTTCCCAAAGCTCCCTGGGCGGCCGGACGCTTACAGGGCTTCCAAGACCGCTCACGGAGGGGCGGTCAGGGCCACCAAGACGGGCGAGCACTGCCTCCAAGAGGCCTCCAAGAGACCAAACAGGAGGTCAAAAGACCCTCCATTTGGACGCCCGACATGGGTACGGAAAAACGGGTACAATGCCGAACAACAGATGCTGTCCCAAACCAACAGCGGCCGCTGCTGGGCAGACGGCCTCCTGCCTCAAATGGACACAGGCCGCGGCGACACCGACGGCGAGCCCTGTTCCAAATGAACGGGAACTGCTGCTGGGCATTGTACCCCAAATCCCTTATTAATCGACCCCCCCTAAAGAACCGGACCCCCCTCCAAATGCGACCTAATATTCCGGACCCCCTCTTCGATGGGGCGCCTTAGTAAACCAGACCCCCTCAGCTCCAATCCAAAGAAAGCGATCTAATAAACCGGACCCGGGGGACGATTAATAAGGGATTTGGAATACCCGTTCTCTCCCGACCCAGCCCGTTGGTGCCGACTCCCGGGCGGCCCTCCCCGCAGCAGGCGGGCGCCCGTGGGACTCCCTGCGTCCCGGGGCTTATAAGTGGGCCCTGGGAACGGCAGGGCCGCTGTTCTACCGGCTCCGTTTTGCCAGTTTTTTTTGCCGGTGCCGTCGCCGTTTTTTTATGGGTTCCGTCGCCGTTCTTTTACGGGCTCCCGCTCCGGCTCCAATCCTGGAGCCGCTTCTGCTGCCGCTTCCGGTCGCCGTTTTTGTTTGCCGTTCCCATTTGCAAGGGACACTTTTTCGGAGACGGTAAAGAAACGGCCCTGCCGTTTCCGGGGCCCACTAAGCGACGATGATGGCGATGGTGATGACGATGATGGCGATGGTGATGACGATGATGGTGATGACGATGATGACAACTGCTGGTTGCGTGATGACGGTGATGATGCTAACGACGGTGAGGATGATGATCTTAGCGACGCTGCAGATCCTTAATGTGATGCCCCCCCGTGGTGGACCAGCCAGCCGTTTCCGGGGCCCACTGAGGTCCAGGGTGCCCACGCGCGCGCGCTGGGGCTGCTGGCCGAGCGGTCGTCGAAGCCGTCGCCGGCCGAGTGCGCGGCAGCGGCACGCGCGCGTGCAGGGCCGCCGTGCGGGCCAGCGCGAGCGCGGCGGCCGGTGGGGCCACGCCCCCCGCGGCGTACTGCCGTGCAGGTGCGCCGCCCCGTGCTGCTGCTCCCGGCCTCCGTCGCCAACCGCCCGCTGGCCGCAAGAAGCCCTTGCGGCCGGACCGAGGTGCAAGATCGAGGTCGGTTCGGAGAGGGCGCCCCGGTCTTCTTCGTGCCTGCCGGCTGCTCTTGTGCGTCCTGGGGAGGGTCCCGTTGGATGTCTTGGAACAGACAAGCGCGTTCCACCACTCGCCAAGTAACACACAGTGGTCTTCAGAGAACCCACCCAACAAGTGAGGGCAAGTACTGATTCGGCGGCCCTGCTGACGGGCTGGATCCGCCGAGGGGGGTTGCGATGGCCCTGATCCGCCGAGGCGGATTCGCGATCCACTACATCGAGGCAGACGTTCGGGCCTGTCGCCCCTAAACAGTCAAAAACTATCCCAAAAATGCTCAAAAACAGTCGAAAAATGGTCCCCAGACGATTCAACTATTTTTGCATATTCCTCCTGTAGAGAGACACGCCCGACTTCAGAGTAGGCCGTTTGCGAGTAATGGAACGCGCTCGGTGAATCGGGAGCGGCTAAGAGGGGGGTGTCCAAGAGGGGGGGGTGCAAATCATGACCGGCGGCATGTGCGCGGCCCAGCGGGGGGGCCAGGGGCGTAATGGAATAAGAAGGGGCGCCATGAAATCTGGGGAAATACCATGGCCCCCGCCATGATATCCATCCCCCCCTAGTCATCACCCCCCTCTTTTCCGCCCCCGACTACAGGAGGATTTTAGGCGAAAAATTAAAAATATTCTAAAAATGCCCCAAAATGCCAAACGAGTACTCAAAAATCGTCCCCGTACGATCTTCTTACTGTATTTGAATATTCCCCCTGTAGAGGGACACGCCCGACCTAAGTTTAGCGGGGGGGGGGCGCCTTCCCTGAAGGCAGGGGGCAGGGGGCTCCCCAAAACCTCGGCGTCGTGATCGTTTCATGACGTGCCCCTCGGAAGTCTGGACCCCTTCCTGGAGACTGGTGCTTCATGAGTCATGTTCGACGGCCCCGAGGCCGGGGAAGGGCCCTGGGAGGCCGAAAATAGCGAGAAACCTCACGTCGTGATTTTTGTCGCAGCGCGAGGGGGCGTGGGTCCTCAAAGCCTCCAGCCCCCTCCCAGAAGACGGGGGTGCCTCTGAGAATCCCCCCCCCGCCTGCCGAGACCTCATGGGGTTAGGCCGGGCATGTCCCCCTACAGGCGGATTTTAGACGAAAAAAGCAAACATAGTCCAAACAGATGCCAAAAATGCTCAAAAATCGTCGAAACATCGCCCCCAGACCCCCAGAATATTTGTGTTGCTGTTTTGAATATCTCCCCTGTAGAGGGACAGGCCCGACTTACTCGTGGGGCCCCCCTCCTGGCCCCACCCTCTCGTGCGCGCCGCCGACGCAGGCCACGACGAGCACCTCGCGGCAGCCCGCGGGGGAAGGAGCGAGGCACACGTCGGCGCTCTTCGGGCGCCCAAGAGGGGGGCGTCCAGGGGGCGCCCAAGAGGGGGCACACGTCGGGGGCGCCCAAGAGGGGGGCGTCCAGGGGGGGGGGGGGGGGCGGGTGCAAATCATGGCCAGCGGCGCGTGCGCAGCCCAGGGGAAGTCGGGGACGCACCGAAAGCAGAAGAGGCGCCACGGAGATGCCCTGGCCCCCGCCACGGTGTCCCCGCCCCCCGCCCGAAGTGGGTACGGAAAGAATGGGCACAATGCCCAACAGCAGTTCCTGTTCATTCTGAACAGGGCTCGCTGTCCGCGCCGCCGCGGCCTGTGCCCATTCGAGGCAGGAGGCCGCCTGCCCAACAACAGCCGCTGTTGGCTTGGGACAACCAGCTGTCGTTGGGCATTGTAACCCTGATAAGTCTTTAGAAGTCCCCTGGCCAATAGATGGAACATAAATATCTGTCGGGCGAATTTATTGACAACTCGGGAAAAAAAGAAGGGGGGGAAAAAAACACACAACAACAAAAAAAAAACAAAAAACAAAAACAAAAAAACAAAAAAAAAAAAAAAAAAAAAAAAAAAAAAAAAAAAAAAAAAAAAAAAAAAAAAAAAAAAAAAAAAAAAAAAAAAAAAAAAAAAAAACACGACCCCACCCGACAATAGCGGAACATAATTATAGTTCGGGCGGCCCGACGACGAAGGCGAAGACGAAGACGATCACGAGTACGTGTGCGACTACGACTACGACAGCGATGCGACGACGAAGACGAAGACGCATGCGCGCGGCGCTAGGGCGAGAGCTGGATTTTGAACCACACCAGACCTCGATCCTTGTAACTGCTACAAACTTTTAAGACGAGAGTGCGCGGCGCTGAAACGAGAGCTGCACGTCGAACCACACCAGCCCTCCACCCTTGTAACTGTTGCAAACTTTTCGACTGTTCAGAGAAAGAGAAAATTGCGAGGGGCGCCTTCGGCGATCAAGGAGTGGGTCCATATTGCAATCCTCTCACAAACGCGCTCAGAATTCCTCTGTCGTGTAGGGCAGCCCACGAGGCATTATTCACTGGGAGCAAGAACCCCCCAACATTATTCAGCTCGGCGCGCAATAGTGGGAATGTAATCGGTGCCCCGCGGCGCGGGCGCCGACGCCGAAGATGAACACATACATTGCATATGTACTAACGCAGTTACTACTCTTGCAAGCAGGACGAGAGAAAGAGAAGATTTACAAGAGCGCTTTCGGTGACAAACAAATGGATCTATGTTGCACTTCTCTTGTGAATGCGCTCAGAATTCCTCTGTCGTGTAGGGTTGCCCACGGGACATTATTCCCTGGGAGAAAGACCCCCCCAACATTATTCAGCACGGCGGCCAATAGCGGAAAACTAATCGGCGCCCCGCCGCTGAAGATTAAGGAATGCATTACATATGTACTAGCGCATACCACAATATTCTTGCAAACAGGGCGAGAAAGAGAAGATTGGTAGAGGCGCCTTCGACGACGAACGAGTGGAGTTATATTGCACTTATCTCACAAACGCGCTCCGAATTCCTCTGTCGCGTACGGGTGCCCCGCGGCGCCAAAGCGAGATCTGCACTTTGAACAACACGAGCCCTCCATCCTTGAAACTGTTGCAAACTTTTAAGACGAATGTGCGCGGCGCTGAGGCGAGGGCCGCACTTTGAACAACACGAGCCCTCCATCCTTGAAACTGTTGCAAACTTTTAAGACGAATGTGCGCGGCGCTGAGGCGAGATCTGCACTTTGAACAACACGAGCCCTCCATCCTTGAAACTGTTGCAAGCTTTTAAGACGAATGCGCGCGGCGCTAAGGCGAGGGCTGCACTTTGAGGAGGAGGAGAGGTTTCGGGAGCGGACGAGTTTCGGGACGAGTTGATTCACCGCCGAGAACTCCAGGAGGGGGGGAGAGCAAAACTAAAGACTTCCCGGGGTTACCCACTCTTTCCGTGCCAATCCCCAGACCCCCGACGTCATGATTTTTTCATGACGCGACCCCCAGAGATCCGCGCCGATTCCCCGGGACCGGTTTTTCATCCCGAGCCGTTTTTTGACGGTCCTGAGGGCCAATAAGGGCCCCCAGAGGCCGAAAATAGCGAAAAACCTCTCGTCGTGATTTTTTCATGGATCGAGGGGGTCTGGGTCTCGGGCGTCCAACCCCTGGCATTTCACCCCCCTGGCCATCACCCCCCCCCCCGCTGGCCAGCACTCCCCCCCCCCCCTCTCTGCCGCCCCCGAGAGGGCGAGGCGCACGCCCGCGCCCCTCCTCGGGAGGGGGAGGGGCCGAGGCCCCTGCTGCCGGGCGGGCGCAGAGCCCGCCGGGTTGAGTCGGGCGTGTCCCCCCCCCTGCAGGGGGATTTTGGGGCGAACAATATTTGATATTTAAAACAAAAATATTTATAACAAAAAAAAGGAGAAAAAAAAAAAACAAAAAAAAAAAAAAAAAAAAACTCCAACATGGTCCAGAAATAAGCCACAAATCGTCCCCATATCATCTTTGGACTATTTCTGAAGATTCCCCCCGTAGGGTGGGGGACAGGCCCGGCTTCACCGCAGGGGCCCGACCGCCGGGAAGAGAGAGGAAGCAGGGAGCCGGACTCTCGGGACGCCAACGCTCTTCTCGGCCACGCACCGGAAATTGCACAAGAGAGCGGTTCCTGGTGTGAACCCAGACCCCCTCGATTCATGAAAAAATCACGACGAGAGGTTTTTCGCTATTTTCGGCCTCCGGGGGCCCTTACCGGCCCTCAGGACCGGGATGAAAAACCGGGATGAAAAACCGGTCCCGAGGAATCGGTGCGGACCTCCGGGGGTCGCGTCACGAAAAAATCATGACGTCGGGGGTCTGGGTACGGGACCCTGGTCTACACGTTTCCCGTCGTTTCCCGAGGCGGCGGATAAAACCGTGAGCACCACACCACCTCGACGTCGTCCCCGGCCCTGGGATTGAGCAGCAGCCAACCACTGGCAACGTATATGTTCCAGCTCCCCGAGGAAGGGGACAGGGAGGAGGAGGCGCTGGCCAGGTCCCCCTCCCTCGGCCGAGCGGCGAAGGGCGCGGAGGCGCCGTCGGCAAACCGCTCGAAGCCATCCATGACGCACTCGTGCGCGCGGACGATCATCGACAAGGGGGGGTTCCTCCCACGGGCCGTGTCGTGATCGTCGTCGTCGTCGTCGTCGTGGCAGTCGCCGTCGTCGTGGCAGTCGCGGTCGCAATCTTTGTCGTGGTACTCGTCGCCGTGGTCTCCGTGGACGTCGTGGACGTCGTGGTCGCAAATGTCGTCGCCGCCACCACCGCCGTCGCCGCCGCCGCCACCGCCGCCGCCACCGCCACCGCCGCCGTCGTCGGCCCCGAGGTGCGCGGGGATGCAGGTTTGAACCGCTGCGGCGATCGGGGGAGGCTCTGGAGGCCACCGGGGGGCCCCCAGAGGCCTGCCGGAACCTCTGGGGACCACCAGACGGGCACCCGGATGCCCGTCCAGGGCACCCCGCGAGTCGATACGAATCGATGGGATCGATCGATCGAAACCGTTGGGTCGAGTCGATGGATCGATGGATCGAGTGGCTTCCATATCGAGCCGATCGAATCGAAGCTCCTCCGTGGCGGGGAGTGACCCCCTGTTGTAAGCTGCCTTGCCGAGTCGATCGCTGTGGAGCGCAGGCTCCTGAACGCATCAGTCGCCATCGCTCGGACGTCCATTCCCCGTGCATGTTCTGGCTTCTTGCGTGCATTTCTTAGCTGGATGACTCAAAATGCTCCTCGACGGACCTCGCCGAGAAAAAATGCACACATCCGAACGATGCCAAGATCAATGAATCGACCAAGTCGAGCACAGGAGCCGGGGAAGAAGAAAAGCAATGATCCGAAGAAGAAGAAGAAGAAGAAGAAGAAGAAGAAGGAAAGGGAGCTTTGAGATCTGGATGACACCATGGCCCTGGCCATGATGTCCACAGACCCCTAGTCCTCCCCGCCCCCTCCTGGACGCCCCCGACCCTCACCCCTCGCGCCCGACTCTCCCCCCTCCTTCTCCTCCTTCTTCGCCTCCCCTACCCCCTCCTCATCTTCCTCCTCCTCCTCCTACTCCTCCTCCTCCTCCTCCTCAGCCGGCTACGGTGACAGAACAACCGAAAAATCTGCCGAAACATTAGCGAAACCGAAAGCGACCGAGTCCGACAGGCTGCAAGCAGCCCAAAAGGGCACAGCGGTGCATCATCGGTGCAACAACCAACCCTGACAAACCGAACCAACCGAGCGCAGCCGACCGCGACTCGGCCGCAAAAACCGACCGAGGCGCAGACGCGCCTGGTATATCGGGCACACTCCGACATGACCCCCGACTCTCACTCCTCCACTCCCCTCCACTCCCCGACCACTAGGTCGGGCATGCCCTCCTACAGGCGGATCTTGCACGAAAAAACAAAAAAATAGTCGAAGCATACTCCAAAGTAGTCAACAGCAGTCAAAAAATCCTTCCCATAGTACTTGTTTGACTCTTTTCGAACAATTCTCCTGTGGAGGGACATGCCCAACTGAACCCGACTCTCACTCCTCTACTCCCCTCCCCTCCCCTCCCCTCCCCTCCCCTATCATCCCGCCTTCTGATGGGCCTGTTTTCCACCACCACCACCACCACTACCATAAGTTGGGAGGGGGGAGGTCCTCCTCCTCCTCCTCCTCCTCCTCCTCCTCCTCCTCCTCCTCCTCCTCCTCCTCCTCCTCCTCCTCATCATCATCATCATCATCAACATCATCTCATCATCATCATCATCATCATCATCAACATCATCATCATCATCATCATTCTCCTCTTCGTCCTCCTCCTCCTCCTCCTCCTCCTCCTCCTCCTCCTCCTGCCCATTCCCCCCTCCAACTTATGGTGGTGGTGGTGGTGGAAAACAGGCCCATCACCTTCCGTTTTCGCTGCCAACACCCCCCCCCACCGCGCGCGACAGCCGAGGTCCTCTTCAGGAACTCGTCGACGCGGTCCGGACCGAACTTGAACTCCGCCGGGCCCGGAAGCGCGCGCGCGGTGCCGTCTGGCGCTCCCTCGCTCGGCGCCACGGGTCTGCGCGAGAGCGCCGCGCGGGCCAGCGCGCGCGCCTCTCCTCCTCCTCCTCCTCCTCCTCCTCCACCTCCTACAGCTCCTCCTCCGCCTCCTCTCCTCCTCCTCCTCCTCCTCCTCCTCCTCCTCCTCCTCCTCCTCCTCCTATTGCTCCTCCTCCTCCTCCTCCTCCTCCTCCTTTTCCTCCTTTTCCTCCTCCTCCTCCTCCTTCTCCCCCTCCTCCTCCTCTTCCTCCTCTTCCTCCTCCTCCTCCTCCTCCTCCTCCTGGGTGCAACCCGTCACGGCCCTGGGGA